GCTGGCTGAGCTGGAAGGGCTGTGAGAATTAGCACTCAGGAAACCCCTTCAGTGAGATTTGGGAAGGGACTGACCCCTCCCAGTGTCCCTCACTGCCTGACCACACCATAATCACAATGGCTGGTGACAGCTCTTTATCTATCAAGTCAGGTCCGGAGGTGAGAGGCCGTCCTAGTACACGCAACCATGTCCCAGCCACTGCCAGGCCCTGCCCTTGCCTCAGCCCAGACCTGTGGCAGGGGCCGGGAGGCCATGTTCTCTACCTCCAGGTCCCCAGGGCCTGAGGAGATGAGACCGAGCATGGGGAGTGGGGAGTGGGGTCAGAGGCCTGTGCCTCCTTCCACCCTGTCTGCTCCTAGGTTGTAGAGACCTGAGTTCCAGGGGTCCAGAGATTTGTGAGGGAGGAGAATGCCTGGTCAGCCCAGGCAGCTGCTGCAATTCTCCAGGTGGACACAAAGCTGAGAAATAGCCAACACGGGTGGTGGGCCGATGCATTCCAAGGAGAAGGAGACTTCAGAGTGTGAGCTGTGGACGACAGAGCCCTCACTGCTGGCTGGGAGCATGGTGGGACAGGGGTTCCAACACCACCCAAGACAAACAAGGGCCAGAGTGAACTTAAGCCACAGGCGCGGAGTCCGGAAGAAACCCCACCCCTAGGTCCCCCAGTGTGGGGATCTCCTGCCACCCCTGTCTCCCTGCCCCACCACAATATCGACACAGTGAGGGAGGGGTGGCCTGGAAGGTGGTCCCCTGCTGTCCCCAGGCCTGGGGCGTTTCCACTGAACTCGTGTGGTGTCCAGGCTCAGGCAGGGTACACTCCCTTTGGAGTGGTAGGTTCCCTTTGGAACCTACCTGGGGGCAGAGCACCCCGCCCCCCGCAGTGCCCTGGGAGGCTGCCCCAGCCCAGCCCCCACCCCGGGGACCCCAAAGGCACTCAGGGCCAGCGGTCCTGGGGAGAACCGCTTCAAAACGCTGTCCGCGGGCCCTGAGGCAGGGACCCCCGGCTGAGCGCTGATGTCTTACCTGGGCCAGAAGCCCGAGGGCGAGGAGGAGCGCGGCGCCCATGGGGCAGGGCGTCAGCAGGACCCGAGGGTATCTTCTTCGCTGCCTCCTGCTCTGAGCCGCCCGGAGTGCCTGGGCTGAGTGACAGCGCAAGTGCGTGGGGCGGGGCCAAAGTGCAGCATGTGCGCGAGGGGCGGCTTGGGGCGGGACCAATGGCTGAGTGACAGCCAGTAGGAGGCTTCTGATAGGCCTCAGGACAGGAAGTGGGCGGATACAAGGCCTAACTGACAGCTGTAGGAGGCCTATGAACAGGCCAGGGGGTGGAGCATGGGCAGGGCCAAGGGCTGAGTGACGGCGCAAGCGGGTGGGTGGGGTCGAAGTGTAACACGTGCGTGGGGGGTCGGTCCGAGGAGGAGCCAAAGGCTGAGTGACAGCCCGTAAAAGGCCTGTGATGGGGTCAGGGACGGAGTAAGGCGGGGCCCAGGGCTGAGTGACAGCACAGGTGCTCGGGCGGCGTGGCCCAGCCACAAAGCGCGAAGCTTCAGGCCGCGGAATAACTCTGGCGGGGCAGAGGGCGGGCAAGGCGGGGGCCAGGCAACTGCCTGGAGATGCAGGGCTTGCAGAAGTCAAGAATAGTGAGGAGGCCTGTCAGAAAAGGCGGAGGGGGGCGGATTAGGGCCAGGGTAGGAATCATTCATTCACCTGGCACGCTCTTGCCTTAGGGCCTTTGCAGGGGCTGCTCCCTCTGCCAAGCGTGCTTCCTCAGCTGTCCCAAAGGCCTACCCCTTCTGCCTGCAGGGTCTGTTCTGCAGCACGTCTGCAGCTTATTCTTTGGGTCACTGACCGCCGGGTTGTGTTGTCCCCTGGGCTGGGCTGGCCTGTGTGTGCAAAGCCCGGCAAGGCACAGGCAGTCCCAGGCTGCAGGGGTCCCATAGTGAACACCAGGCAACCTCCCTGGAAATGCTGGGGGCTCTGGGGCTCCCACTATCCGGCAGCTTTAAGTGCCATCCATAGCTGTGGACTCCCAAATTGGCATCTCAGCTGAGGCCACTGGACACCTACATGTTGTTCACCCTCCATGCCCTAGTGTCAACATTCCCACTCCAACCAACTCCTGGCCCATCCCAACACGACTCTTAGTACACCCCCAACTCTCCTGGCCCACTCTCAACCTCCAGTGCCTCCTTCCCTCGGGCCCATTGTCTGGAGCACCTTCCTCCCCACAGTTGCCTGCAGGACTCCCCTGTGCTTCTGTGTGTATGTGCATGTGCGTGTGTGTGTGTGTGTGTGTGTGTGCACTTCAACACCCATGCATCCCCTGGCCAGTGTACAGGATCAGAGGGCCTGGAGGGGTTGGGGGAAGCTTGCTTTTGGGCAGGCGGTGTGAGGGTAGGGCCCCCAGCAGCAGCAGCCAGCTTGGGGCCTCTGCTCTCTCCAGACTGCAGGGTAGCTGTGCAGGTGCTGGACCATCTGTGTCCTTGGCTTGCTTGGCAGGGGCCAGGCTGCCCTGGGGAGGCTCAGACCAGGACTGTCCCTGAAACTCATGGCTCCACATTAAGGGAGAACAGAGAGCCCCTCCACCTTCAGACTCAGAGGGCCCCTACCCTAAGGCTGTGCAGTAGCCCCTTGGGGACCAGCCTACAGCCTCTGAGCCTAAGGACCCAAAATGCGGGTGCAGAAGCCCTCTGAATGCTTTTGGGGTTTCTGCCTTGTGGTGCTAGTGTAGGGGTTAGCGGTAAGGTAAAGGGGAGTGCCTCCTGCCCAGAAACAGGTTGGGGGCAATTCCCTCAGGACCCTTCCTCCCTATTGTCCACCCTGCCTCTCTGCCTTGCTTTCGACCACCTGCCTCCCACCCAATTAGGGAAGAGAAACCTTCATCCAGGGGCTGTGGGGGTCTCCAAGGGACAGGATAAGTTGGCAGGGGCCTGGGTGAACCCAAAGTGCAGGGAGGCAGCTGGCTAGGGCTCTGGGGGGAGGATGTAACCCCAGGCTGGAGAGCCAGCCTTCCAATAAGGGACCCTGTCCTGTGAGGTGTCCAGGGCAAGCCCTGGGGCAGTTTATCTCTGGGCCTTGGGCAAGTAAGGAGTGGGGGTTCACTTCAGGCTGTGAGACCACCACATCCAGAAGAGCCCTCCCCTTTTCGTGGTGACTTAGGGACATTTAACACACAGCCCCCCTCCCCCCCGACCTCCAGCATTAACCGCACTTTGCAGCTCCCTTGCCCCCACTCTGTAGCCTGGGATATTCCAGGTGGCCAACCCATTGTTCCACGCTCCCCTCACTTCTCCCCCAGCAGAAGAGGACCTGGGGCCAGGAAAACCAGAGCCAGGGCCCTTGCAGCTCTGGAAGTTCATGAGGTCTAGCTCTCCTCACCCACCTGCTCTGCACCCACAGGCCCCTGAACAGGTGGTCCAGTGTGGGCAGGAACCAGTGCTGTGCCCAGCTTGGGATGAATTTTCAACATTCTCATGATAAAATGGGGGATCACTGATGGCTTTCAGCAAAGGAGTGATGCCACACTGCTTCGGGACACTGGTAATTGTCAGGTATGCCATTGTGCAGGTTTATGTGGAATTATACACAAATACACATACCAGTACTGAAGTCAGGTGTGCAGTCCTCAAATGCCGTCCAGCAAGGCGCCAAGGTTCAGCAAGCTGTGCTGGACAGCCCAGCCCAAAGAGTCCAGGGTCTTGGTCAGGCTTGGCCAGGTGTTAGCAGCTACCACAGGACACAAGTGCTGGAGAGTGAAGGAGTGACCTTGATGGCAGCAGGTGCTGGCCTGGGGGACAAGCACCTGGGCTACCTATGATGATCAGGAGAGGTGCTGGGTGGGCAGGTGCTTGTCACAGCTAATAATAGCCAAGGTATACAGGCAGCCCTGGCCCTGTATCCACCTGCTTCTGCCTGGTTCACCTGCCCCCAAAGACCCTCTGAGGTCAGGGCCCATTTCATAGGCCAGGAACCTGGGTCACCCCTTTTCTATACTCCACATTGGCCTGAAGGTTGGGGCTAGGCTGAGGCCAGGAAGATACTCCTTACACGCCCAGGCCCTGCCCAGGGCTGTCCCAGCACTAGTTGACATGGAAGAATTGGTAGGGGGGCCTCAGTGGGGTCCAAGAGGGTGAACTGAGCAGATGGGGCAGTGTGGAAGCAGGAGTGGGCAGTGTGGAAGCAGGGTAAGACCTGGAAGTGCTGGGCACCATCCATGGCCACCACACCTGAGCCCTGGCCTGGCCCTGTGGCCTGCATGGGGTGGTGGGACCTCAGGGCTCAGGGGATGCTGTACCCACACCCAGGCCGCCATCTTCTCTCTGGTGGCCACAAAATGCATTGCAGGTGTCACAGAGCATCCCCTGTGGGGATGT